CACACACACACACACACACACACACAAATCTTATGTACCAGCCATAAGAAATTACTGTGACGAACAGATACATCATATATTTTATGTTTACATAAATCTGTCGCAATGCGTATCAAAACATTTTAGTTTGATAGTATGATTTAAAAAATGTTACTCTATCAGTTAAATTTCTTGGTCTTTTAATGCATATAGTATTGACAGCAATGCCGTTCCAGGTTATGAAATGTAATTTTAATTTTCACCTCTGTATGTACCAATAAAGAATGTTCCTGTAGACAGCAAAGCCACCTGCTGCATAAACCCAGGGTGACCACCTGCCGACACAAATCTGATATCGTAACATCTACACATACCAGACAGTCCTGATAAGAACTTTATCAAAGTGCTGAGAATTCTTCATGAGAAGTTGATTCAGCATTAGAAATATACAGGATGTCCCAAAAAGATGTATACACGGCAGCAACTTTCGTGGCCGCTTCTCAGTCAGCTGCTCACCAATGTCAACCGTGCCACAAAGCTAACAGTAGTCACTTTAAATGCCTACACTACATCTGCCAGTTCACAAGGTGCCATTGCTGACATATGTTTGGTTTATTAAAATGTATTTATTTTGTTAACGGACACAACTTTATGGGACACATGTATTTCAGAAAGAAACATTTGACTGGTATGCTAAAGTGTATTATACTTTAAAAATAGCAATATTTTGAACGGTAAAAACTGAATGGAAAGCTGAAGCAACCTACAATGTAAGAATAGAGACAATTAGAATACGTGGAATTATGAGTCCGTCTATACACAACTGGAAAATATTTCTTTTGGTTCTGGTCACCCTTACCGAACTCCTGACACACAGCCAATGGTTCTGTTTAACTAATCACCTTATGTAATTTCCAATGATAGATGGTTATGAATTATGTTTCATTCTGCTTACAAGCCTGAAAACAAATAAGTATTTTGTTTGTTTCTTCCCTTAAAAGTACAAAATTTGTAACATTCCCTAAGTATCATACCATTCAATAAAAACGCTGGCATTTATAAATAAGAAACACTAACAGTGATCCTTGCAAGAAGGACTTCTTTGTTATTAAGAAATGCTAGTTGAAAGTTCTTTGATTGGTTGTTGGACCCTACATGTAGTTGTCTGTATGGATGGGTGTTGTGACATTTGACACGGCTCAATCATCCTGCTCTGTCCAGTCTACTCGCGCCCAATCAGGTAGCTCTGTCTCGTATGACCAGCCTGGACCCTGCAGAAAATTTGAGCATGACATTAGCAAAGAACATGCTATCTCTAAATACTGCATTTTTATTATGTTTGTAACAACTATTATATTATCAAAAAGGACATCACGTTGGAAGCTTCAAGCTGTCCTCACCATACCTTGTATTTCCATGCATGTAGGTACATGACAAGGTCTCTAGGCTTTGGGTCTCTGTAACGCACTTTACATTCATAGCAGTGTTTATCTGTAGACATTTTGTCAGGGTTGAATGCTAGGTCTGGTGCTTCGTGTCCAGTCTGCGTAGCCACCGTCACTTTATTTGTTCGACACAGAACAGCGTTTCTTTGAGACACCACTGAAGAAAGAGATTCTTCCTGATGGCCAACACTCCCCACCACATCATTCTCACATGACTCCTCACAGGGTGATGCTTCTCGGCTTACGTCTCCATCATCCTCTGCTAGTCCCACTTCACTCCCTGAGAACACACAACACAGAAATAAAAATTGTAAATATATTTGTCAATCATGGTCTACGTGGAACACTAACAGGACTAACAACTCGACACATCATTACAACCCAAAATATCAACATCGACAATAAAATACATATTACAAATAATCCTCTGAGGATGGGAACATATAAAACATGCTTCAGACAATGAACAGTGTCCAACGTAACTGCACTGTAATAAATTGGAAGCTGTCACAGATTTTTAGTAGTTGACTTTACCTTTCCCTGACAATGGGTTAAGCCCATCCTCCATGTCGCCCTTGAGGGACTTAAACATGCTGAGTTCAGAGTCTCCATCCATGCCAAGCCAGTTCTCTGCATTGTGGATATTTATGAGGTCCTGAATAAGCTCTTCATCCGTCTTTCCTATGTTACCGCCTCTCCCTTTTTCAGGACCGAAGACCGTGTGATTATAGAGTGGATCATTTACCACAGGGTACCCTGCCAAAGAAAAAAATCATCAAGTAAGCTTCATTTATACTGACAGAAGAAGCAATAATGTTTCATCTGTAACAAGATACATTTAGTGTTAGGCTTCTGTAGTCAATGTCATCTGTAATTATATGTGCTGCTGATGCTACCAGTGCTTACAAATCTGATGATAACCTCCTGCCCTTCCACTGAGAATTCCTGGAGCTCGACGGCCATATTACCTAATAATTCAACATAAAAATTAATACAGATTGAAAGAATTAATTAGTTTTGATGAATGTAAGAATCCGCCAAGCACGAGCTTACCTAAATACTGGAGGTGAACTCTGATCTGGTGCATCCTCCCAGTATGTGGCTTGCACGAGATGATGCTCGTCTTGCCATTATAACCGAGCTTCTGGAACGTTGTCGTGCATGTCTTTCCTTTGGGCGACACCTTACAGACTCCAATCTTGTAACTCACCACTTCAATTGGTTCTTGGCACTCAATCACCTCACTGAAAATACACAAAATATTAAATAAACATGTGAAAATTATTACCAACAAACTAAAAACAGACTAAAACAACAACAATAACAGAAGAAGAAGAAAACTTACTTTTGTGCTGAACTTCAGTTTTTAAACAGCACTTGTTTTTAACTTTTCATTCATATTTACTGCAGTGTTAATTATACCTTTCTCTTACTTAATTATTATTCCCCATCAAGCACACTGGTAAAGTGGTACACCCAAGAGGAGACTGGTTCAAATTCCAGCCAGACGCTATAACTGACTTGTAATGACACACCAACCCAAACATTCAATTATTTATCACAAAACATTCCTGTTGTAAGATGACATAACCAGGCCTCCTGTTGGATGTGCCTACTCCCTTCGCGCATCCTACAGTCTTGTGCATACTGCTGGGAAAACAAGATATTTCATCCTGCATTATACCATGGCATTTGTCTGAAAAGACTAAGGAAAAGTATAAAAAACATTAATCAGATTGCCAGTCTTTGTGCTGAGATTTGAAAATGAGACCAAATTAAAATGAAGGAAAACTGCTAACAACACAAAAACATAACAATACTATATGATTACAATTGTTGGTTATTAGGTTAGGTTAGGTTCGATTAAATGAAGTACAAAATGAGAGGCTTCCAGCAGGTCATCACAAAACTAATGTTCATTATAACCAAAGCTTTGTGTACAGAAATCAAAATTGAAGGCTGCACCTGGGAAATTCTCCTTCCACTCTACACACGTACTCCTTTTGAACCTGGCGATTACGGATCTGATGTTCCATGGATCGGGCCTTTTTAGGAGTACGTCCAAAGAGTAATAGACCAGAAGTGAGGCGGTCCAGCCGGTGAATGGTTCGAAGGTTCTTCAGGTTATACTCCTTGGCAAGAATAAACACCACGGTATTGTGGCGGTAACGCCCACAAGGGTGGACCTAAAGTGAAAAGAAAGATAGGAAGTGTAAGAGACGCATATTTAATGGTACTAAAACTTGCTTTATAAAATGAGCATGTGCACTCATCAAAATTAAAATAACTGACACAATAACATGATAAATAATTCACACAAACAAATTATCTGAATTAATGTTTTCAGATCGTCTGCTGGATTCATAAGCCAACAGCTTATATCTGCAGTAAACATAAAAGAATTTTAAACCATCCATGAAATTCCTTTTACATGGAAAAGTCAGTACCAGTATTTTGTGAGAAAAACTGCTAAGTGCGTAACACAACTTGCTGAGGTAAAGGTAGCATTCATTTTGCGGCATAAAAGGAATTCCTTGGGGTATGCGGTATCCTGTTATGCAGCATTACCGAACTGATTTGTAACAGATGTAAATGAAATATTATTAATATGAAACGGATTATAACAAGCAAGTGCTAATTTAAAGTTTCCAAGAACAGTGGTGCCTTGGTATTATATTCAAATAACAATTATAACACTGTCAAAATGCATCTGAAAAAGATCATTATATAAATTAGTTTCACTGTAAGAAGGGAGGGTATGTAAAAGAGGTGTAGGAATTGCACAATGGAATCAGCACAGAAAACACAGATCTCCACATGGTCTCTTGCTAGGCAGAAGAGGCTATGATGTGAGCAAGTGGTCTATTTATTTACTCATTTTCCCATTTATGGGTTCAGAATTTAAGCCAAAGGAAAAAAGATCTGAACATAACACAGATTATGAACATACAATGATGGAACAGGAAATTTCAACAGTACTGTTTTTCTTAATTCGACAAACAATATTCAGACGATGATTCTAACAGCATTCACTCAAAACTTTAATTAACGTGAGGCTTTAAAGGCAACAAAAAATTAACGTGTTGAAGTCCACATACTCCTGAAGTTCCTAAAACATTAATTAATGTCAACGATCTTAAATCCAGTTACTTTTTGTCAAAAT